GATGATTGAGTTGCCATTCTTTTAGGATAGTCAAAATTAGTTGGAACCCGCTAAGAAAATCTTTTTTCTTGAAGCAGTATGTAGTTTGGATTGGTTAAAATTTATTGGTGGTATTCTCCAAATGGAAGTGTTGACAACTATATTTTATTAATTTATTATGATGTAATTAGGATTTTATCAAAATAATTCTCTCATATTATTAGAATTTTATTAGAATAAAAATTTTCTTATTAGTAGCTTATAAATTTTATAAATACTCTAAATATAACAATCTAAACGTTGAGAAATAAAATTATTTTTCTTCTAAAATCAACATGGTATCAGAGTCACATAAAATTATTTTAGGGGTTCTAATTTTAAGGTTTTTTAAACTCTAAAATAACACAATATGTTAGGTTGGTACCCAATTATCAAGATCTACTCTCAACACCAGCCTAGAAAGCCAGCTTAGAGAGAGAGCAAGCCTGTTCAAATTTGAGGAAGAAGCTAAAGAGTCGCTGCACAAACCAGATCTAGTTTGGCCCTGATCCGTGCAACTGAAACTTCTCCAGCACGCAGCATCTTGACGGAACAATTCGTGCGCAGCAGGCCGAATCCGTTCATCCATATTGGCGCGAGGAGAAAGCCATTTTTGCACGACCTCCATTGCAGATCTAAAGTGGAGGAAGTTCTGATGTGCGGGGCTCGCATGAAGGAGACAGATCGCGACGAAAGAAGCTTTGGCGCAGGGAGAGCAGAAGATTAGATCCTCATGTGCAAAAACAGAGTGCCGGAGAAGACGAACCAGTTGCGGCGAGCCCACTTTGCGCAAAGACATTTTCTGGCAGTCTTTTGGCGCAATCTCACCAGATCTATGCCGGATAGAAATCCACGGGCATTTTCTGTGGTGATTGCCGGTGAAATCGTGGCGGTGTGTGGAGGCCGGCAACGGTGCGTGGCAGTTCCCGCGGAGGTGTGTGGCAGTGCATGCTGGTTCGGTGACAGGGCATCCGGGGGTATGTGACGATGCATGAGAGCTCATATGGCACTCCGGTGAAGCTCGAGCCATTATAGAGCCGAACCGGAGCCATTTTAAAACTGAGCCCGAGTTGTTTTTGAGTTAGGCCGAGCTGTTTTGAACAGAACTGAGCCATTTTCAGCCGAACCGAGCTGAGCTGCTGTCTGACATATCTGGTTCCAGTTTGCAATACTTTTTTGTTTGGCATCCTTTAATATTGATTAAAAAAATGACTCTTCAGAATTTGATCTACAAGTTGGACATGTATAATATCCCTGCACCTACTTGAGAGGGGATATTGACAAACATATTTTATTACTTAATTATTTAATTAGTTTATTATAATATAATTATGATTTTATGAGAATAATTATCTCATATTATTAGAATTTTGGTAAAATAAAAAATCTTTTTAATAAGTAAAAATTCTATAAATATTTTAAGTGTAACATCCTAAAATGTGAGAAATAAAATTATATTTTTTCTCCTAAAATAAACAGGAAGTAAAAACTTTGGAGCTGGACGTAAACTTTGAAATCTGAGTCGAAGTTAGAAAAACAAGCTGGCACAGTTAGGGTTAATGCTGGCGGTTGAAATAGCAGTGCCGCTGGGCAAGGTGTAACTAGTTATGTGGAACACGCGGTTGCATAGGGAGGATTATGGAGTGGAAAGGTCCCACTGATGCAGGTGACTGACAAAAAGGATGTTGGGACTGATGCAGGGTCAAATAGACCTGAACTGATGCTTTGACACTGATGCTTTAACAGACCGGTTGCTGGAGCAAGCGGTTGTCCAACATCACATCTTGTGTCTCGCATTTGGTGGTGTGGTCGCGTCAGGGTAGCGATTGCGTCTGATTAGCAAGAGAATAAAGATCACATCTGGACGACTATACTTCCCTCTAGTTGCTGTAAGTGATGAAGGTCAACAAGGGTAGCAACTGCAACAGAGAGAAGGTGCGTGACTAGACGACTGGATAGAAATGTACACAATTAGATGTATGATTGAAGGACTCTGCCACTGGCAATAAAGGCTGGTTTGGCTGTTACTGGTAGCCGGCGATGATGGCTGGTCTACAGTAGCTAGCTATATGGTTTTTTTTCTCTTTTTTATATCGGCAATAAAGATCAATATATAAAAGAATTTAGAGCTTATTTAACTAGAGGACTAAAAATCACAGAGCATGTTCTTTCTTCTTCTTTGGAAGGAAAAACGTATATGAATAAAGCACCAAGAGAGCGTTCTTCATGTTCAAAAGAATGAGTCACAACTTAATCAAATGCCAGTAACATTCCCAAGTTAAAAGAGAGAGGATAACCTAAAATAAAAATATTGAAGAAAAAAAAAAAAGACGCCCGTGATTCACCATGGAATAGAAATCATGATATCGTTCTAATTTAAACATTGTGTCTCACCTGAAATTTTTCATAGAAAAGTAATACAGATCCCAAATAAAAAATTGCACTTGGAAATACACTGAAAGCAAGAGGTGAGAGTAAGTGCTTGGGATTGCTAAAATGTTGAATTTTGAAGAAAAAATAATTTTATTTTTCACCTTTTAATTTGTTATATTTGGATATTTATAAAATTCCTGACCTATTAAGAAGAAAATTTTTATTCTACTAAAATTCTAACAATATAAAATTATTATTTTTATAAAATCCTAATTATATAATACTAACTAATTAAATAATTAATTAATTAATAATAAACTAAATATAAATATCATATTCACATCCCCCTTCAAGTTGGTGTAGGGATATCGCACATACCCAACTTACAGAACAAGTTCTGAAGAGTCATCATGCAATCTATCAAAGGCGTACGCGTGCTCGACTCAGTTCAAATGACTTGACTCGGTTCAAAACAGCTCAGTTTGACTCAAAACAACTTGGCCCAGCTCAACACGGCTCAACCCAGCAAAAAACGGTTCGAATCGGTTTAAAACAGCTCAGTTCGGCTCTAAAATGACCCAGATTCAGCTTTAAAACGGCTCGAATTTGGCATTAAAACGGTTCAGGCTTAACTCTAAAACAGCTTGAAGTCGGCTCAAAAAATAGCTCGAAGTTAGACAGATCTTTGAACGTGCGCAGAAAAATGGAAGGACGCGGTCTTTTTTATCAGCATTTGTAGATGTACGGCTGTAACTTTTTACCAGTGCATGTGACGTGCGGCTGCTTTTTTTACTAGTGATTATAGATGTGCAACTGTAACTTTTTACCAGCACTTACGGTTGTGTGGTTGTATATTTTAACTGGCACTTTCGAATGTGCAACTACACTTTTTTTTACCAGTGCCTGTGAATATGCGGCTTCAGTTTTTTACCGGCGCCTCAAGAATGTGACTGCACCTTTTTTATTGCCACTTAAACCGCCACCGAAAATCACCGTAAACAACATAGAATACATCGACGAGTTCAAATCAATCTTGGGTGTTGATAAAAGTAGATACGGATAAAAGAGTACCAACCTATCATATTGTAATTCTAATAATATGAAATTATTATTCTCAAAAAATTCTAATTACATAATATTTACTAATTAAATAAATAATTAATTAAATAATAAACTAAAATAATAAAATATCATATTCAGCACAAAACAATGCTTAAAGCACCGAGTAATTGGAGTAGAACTTAAGCTAAATAGGTGCTGATTTAAAAAATAAGATGAATGAAGATGTTTAAAGATATGTGTTTACTATATTATAAATAAAAAGAAATATATGATAATAATCGAATAGCTAAAAATGTTACAAAGATAGATAGTTAAGTCAATAAAGATAAAAGTATGAGAGATGTTTATCTTTTTCTATCTAAAAGCTGGTTATTAGCACTTTATAAACAGTTTGCTTATTATATTATAAATAGAGTGCTCAAAACTACTTATAATCATCTAATGAATAGCCAATATGCATCTTAAAATTTGATCAGAATGGAACAAAAACAAAATAACAATAAAAAATTGCTTTAGATTCTGTTGATATAAGGGCATTGTGATCACCATATCCATGATATCAAGGATATGAATAAGTTAAACATTATGTTGGTTCACAATATGCAATTCAGAAGGATATATTCATGATCAGAAACATACATTACCAGAGGAAAATAATGATTTAAGTACACCAGTAGATTTATATATATATAAAACTTTGGGGATTGGAGATATTAGTTGATATATGATAGTGTTAGTTTTCACTCCTGCTGCTCATTTCTCTTACTTTAAAGTCCATATATATTTCTTTGATAGAAAAAAATGATTATGAGATAATGAAGAGGAATAGAGCAATAGAGGACTAGTTGCCCTCCCCAAGGGGAAAACAAAAGATAATAAGGAGAAAAACCATCACTACTTATAAAGTATCCTGTATATATATCTCTCTACAGAATAGACTGAATAATCCTCACAGTGCCTGTGTGC